TTATAATGTAAAATAAACTTGTTGGCTAACAAATGTTAATATAACCAATATAATGATATTTATAATATAATAATATTTATTAAATAATATTAATATTATTAATAATTTTATATTATGTTAATAATAATATAATATTATTTTAGTATTAAAATAATATTATTTTTAAAATATTATATAATATATAGCAATAACAAATTGATACACCAAAATAATTAAATATATTTTTCTTTAAAAATAATATTTAGTAATTTTAAAGTAAATATAATACATTAAAGTACCATATAATATTATAATGTAATATAATATATTATAGTACCATATAATATTATAATATATTATACAATATCATATTATATTCTACTTACTATTAATAATATATTTAATACTAATGTTATAATGAGTCAAGTGTTGACTAAAAAGACTCAGAATGTTGTTCTGCAAACACTTTACGGGGAAAACACAGCACCATGATATTTTTTTATAAAAACACAAAAGAAAAATACCATGATATCCAAACGAAGTTTTACTATTATATTTTAATAACTCTCTACATCATCTCACTATTTAATTATTAAATCCTACCTTTTCACCTAAATAGAAACCATTTCCTCTCATTTTAAGAGAAAATGGTTTTCATTTAAGGGCTATTTGGTTGGTCAAAATAGTGCAGAAAGTGGCACTTAGAAAACCGACACAATTTTTTTTTGCTATTTTCCCTCACAATCAGCTATTTGGTTCACCAAAATTAAAAAAGAAAGTGGGAGAAAACTAAGGCTCCAGCTAGATATTTTCTGGGGAAATTTTTTCGCGGTTTTAAAGCGGATTATGGGGGAAACGCTAACTTTTCTCTCGCTAGGGTTTTCCTTCACAATTCTTTCCCCAGCTGCCTTTTGTTCTGGTCACCACTCTCTCTCTCTCTCTCTCGATCTCCTTCACAACGTCGAGCTCCACACCACTCGTTCGTCGAACTCGTTCGCCCTCTCTCTCGATCTCCTTCACAGCACCGACCTCTGCGCTGAGCCCCTCTCTCCGCCTCTCTCCACGACGGACTTCGGCCTCCCGCCACGCGCCTCTCTCTTCGCGATCTCGTCTCGCCGCTCACAGCCTCTCTCTCTCACCGCGATCTCGTCCTGCTGCGATCTCGCCCAGTTGATGTTATGGAGGTAAGTTCAAAATATCTGAGACATATTTTGATTTGAGCCAATGACAAATTTTCATTTTAGACCCTTTTAGTAATTTATTTCCAAAAATCGACCCCTTTGAGATTTATTTGCAAATTTCGATCCAGTTTCAGCCAGGTGGCTAAAACTGGATCGAAATTTGCGAATAAAGTTGAAAAAATTCACATGATTTAAAATCCGTGAAGTTATGTCCTTAATTAATTAGTGCTAACCAAAAATTTTGGCTCAGATGGTAAACTGCCACTAAACTTCATGGGATTTTAAATCTTGTGAAGTTTATATTAAACAAATTTCATAAAATAAGTAGTTATATGGAATGAGTTTAGTGGTTATAACATTAGCTTATAAGAGTTGGATGGAAAGCATATGGTTCGAATTCTAGCCTTGTAATTTTTTTTTTTAAATGTTCAAGGAAAAAATATGTTGGGATGAGATTTGAACTTAAGAACACTTCAATGATTGAAGTTTAACTTTCTTTGAGTTAACCACTTGGCTAACTATGGCGACCATATTATATTGAACTCCTCGGGATTTAAAATCTCGTGGAGTTAGGCTAATTATAAACTTCACGGGATTTAGAATCCCGTGAAGTTTAATTAAGGACTAAACTTCACTGGATTCTAAATCTCGTGAAGTTTTTCAACTTTATTCGTAAATTTCGACCCAGTTTCAACCAAGTGGCTGAAACTGGGTCGAAATTTATAAATAAATCTGAAAGGGGTCAATTTTTAGAAATAAATTCCTAAAAGGGTCTAAAACAAAATTGTATCCTTTGAGCCAAACTGCATATAATCAAAACTGGAATAAATTTGTGCGGAATTCTTTGATTGTATGTACGCATTCATTTATACCTGCAGATAGCCAACAAGAGGGAAGGTTGGTGACTTGTAGGGGTGTTTCCAGTCAGCTGAAATTTTCACGGGACTAGTAGTCCCGTTAACACACACATTGTGGATAAACTTCATAAAAGCCCCTCAACTTTACGTGCAAAAATACTATTCAGTAATAAACGTATTTGCACTTATTTCCTTAATTTTTTTAAAGTTTGAAAATTACTTCATCAAACTTAATATTAGTCTATCAAATCTTTAGAGGTTTGGAATTACCCTCGTAAATATCCACAATTAGTTGAAATTATTCACTAAAATCTCTATTGCAAAGTACCCATTAAATTTATAAATAAACCCCCAAATTATTAAACAATTTCAATGTCCTCCCTCAAATGTTCATATTTTGAATTTATTAGTCTCTAAAATGGATTTATAAAAACTTAAATTAGTCTTTCGAATAATTAAATATTTGGACTTACTCCCTTAAATATTCATAATTAGTCCCTCAATTTTTTATTAATTTTGCAAATTACTACCTTATATTTAAAATTAGTCCCGCAATTCATAAGTGGTCTTATTTCGGAATTTTAGACCCTCAAATGTTGAGTATCCTCAACCCACTTATGTTTCACAAATATTTTATTCTATTTGAGTGGTAAGCACACCATGGTGACCATAACCATGGTTTCTTCTTTTTTAGTTTGAACCAAACACTAGAAAATAAGGGCATCAAGTCACACATCAATTATTTTCTTGTACACTAAATTTGAACCAAACTAAGGAAAGTGATGGAAAGTAATTATGCCCCATGTTTCTTTACGAAACAAACACAAAATACACTTAGAAAGAGAGAGAAACACAAAAAAGTGAAGGAAAGTGACATTTGAAAAGTGAAGGAAAGTAACCAAACAGCCGCTTAAGAAGTGGTGTTTTCCCTACTTTTAAGAAAAACTTTCTTAAAATTTTTTGATGAAACAAACAAAGAAATTGAAAAATACTGGAAATTTCTTTTGCATTTTTAGACAGTGTCAAAAGCTTTCCAAGGTTTCCTCTCAAAACAAACACGCCCTTTATAGAAACCACTTTTTTTTTTTTTTTTTTGAACCCAAAAAATGAATTGGAATTCTATAGTGGCATGTGCCTCATATTTTTGTTCTATTTCTTGGTTTTTCATGCATTTTCCATAAAAAAGTTGGTAAACCATACAGTCTCGTATTATAATAGCTACCACTTGTTGCAAGAATGACATGTGACTTTTTTTCAAGCAATGACAAGTGACAGTTGTTTTCGTTTTTTCCCCCTTTATAAAAAGGCCCAACCCTATGTAAAAAAGACAATTGCCAGATAAAAAGACATGTCTAAAGACTAAAATATTTAGTAGAAATAAAGTTGGGTAAACTAATCAAATATTAGTTGGGCACATGATGGTTAAATATCAATACTCCAGTTGAATGAAGACAAACAAAATCAGCAAATTAGTGGAAAAAAATTGGGGTGAGAGAGGCTCGAACTCTCGACCTCAGGATAACTCAATTTTAGCTATGAGACCTACGCGCTAGCCAACTGCGCCACCACCCCTGGTGTCCCTCTCTTCCAAAATAGTTAATAATATTGAAAATAAAATCAAAACAACAGGTTGATACAAATAAGCTGAATGATAGTTTCAAGAATGAAACATATTACACACAGATTTGGACCATCACCAAGAAAAAAAAAAGCAGTGGAGGAACCACTACTTCTAATCACAATCGTTGATTATTTAGTGGAAGATTATGATTTATTCTAAATCTAACACTCACTGTACTCCTGTGTATTGCGCTCCTTTCTTATTTGTACTCATAGAAAAATCATAACTATAAACTAGATAATCAATGGTTCTTGATAATGTAGTGATCCCCAATCCTTACATCACAAGTCAAACAATCATATTAGAATCTAATTCTCAATGTTTGATTCGGGAGCTGTTTGTTTCACCCATTTTATAGAAAAAGATTGGTATTTGAATCTGAACAGTGGTAAAATCGTAATTAAAGGATTCCAAATGAATCCTAATCTGGAGTTTAGTTCAATTTTTTTTATAGATTTCCAAATCTGTAAAGTACCCCAAATAGTGTTTTTTTAGGGATTCCCAAATTCTCTCCTTTTGATCGGATTTGGGCGATATTTCTAACATCCTCATCCCTTTCACCTCTTTGGGGTTTTCCAATTCCGCCGCCTTCGAAAACCCTAGATCTGTGGTTGGAGCGTTGTTCTTCTCACGCCTCATCTCACTCCTCTTCACGCCTCTTCTCCCGCGGGCCAACGATTTCTTTTTCGAACTCGTGGCTGGCGGAATCGGCTTCTCCCTCTTCTCATCGTCGACGCTCCTCTGTTGGTGGGTTTCGGTCGGTTTGTTGGTGATCCCTTCTCGAACTTCTGATTTTCGGTTGGTTTGTTGGTGATCCCTTCTCGAACTTTCATCGGTGTTCGGAGATTACAGTCGCAATAAACTTTATAATTTTGGGAGCATTCTTCTGATATCATATTGATGTCGGAGAGGCAAATTGCAAACAATGAGAATTTATAAATTGGTGAGAAAGGAGAATGCATTGGAAAATTTGAGGCCTCAAGTTAAATTTATAACATCCAAGGCCTTGGAACTAGCCATTGCTACAATATTTCCTATTTGAATATTAGGGTAGTTGTCGCCGTTACTATAGTGTTTTTGTTTTGAATACTGAACTAGCCGTTACTATAGTATTGATCCCAAAAAAAATTCATTTTGAACCAAACTAGATATTAGGAATTGGAGGGTTTCTATAAAAGTGAGATTCTATTTTTTCATGGAGTGAAACAAACATAGAATGCAAAAAAAAAGGATTCCATAAAATTACAAACTTGTCTTAAAATTTTTTATGGAATAGGCAGGAATCCATAAAAAAAAACGGATTCCTAATCCTATTCTTGTTTATTTGTGAAACAAACAGCCCCTTAAGCAGTACCAGAGTCATGGGTAAAACAATAAATAAGAAGGTACGAGTATCTACACACTTAATTCATAAATAATACACACTGCAATAAATAAACTGACAGGACAAAGGAAACAGAGGTCGATGAATCTGGCCCTCGTACAGAGATTATGCACCAAAATCTCACTGCAAGGCTATTTTTCCTTCTTAAAATTTTGACATTTTTAGAAAACTTCCAGGTTATCCCTGAATTCAACAAATTGAAACTTCTCTTTAAAGCGCAAAAGTTTGTTACTTTGAATGGGGCATGGAGATTCACTCAAAGGAACTTAGCTTTCTTGAAGGCGGTATATTGTGATTTCTTGCTGTTTGAAATATCGTCGGTCTTCTTCATCTACAAGAACAAGATTCAGGTAGTACTTTACGCTGAATTTATTGTTGATATTGCGATATGTTGGTGTCAGCTCATATGGGCTTAGAAACAGTCTAATAGGTATCGACTCTCCTGCAAAAAAACAAAAATAAAAATATAATGTTCACAAGAAGCATTTGAGTCTTCGTAAGCACTTTGACACTGCTAAATAGATTAACTAAGCTCCAAGGTCACAAGACATTTGTGCCTATAATTTCATGATTTTAAGGGAGTGTAAAAAATTGTTAGGAATGACTACTTAACAAATTGTAAGACCGATCTGTTATATTAGATTAGCTTGAAGGCTGATATAACATACAACTGGAGAACTACGATTCTCAAGCTCCTTGCTTGAGAAATTCTACTAGGATGACATCTCCAGCCATTCATGGGGAAGGGCATAAGAGAATTTGAAGGTGAGAACCAAGTTAAACAACCTGTGTTAAGACATTTCCTTGATGATGTGTACGCTATTTGAGAATGAGAAACCTCAACTGCTTTGGAGATCCAAGTGGGTAAGTTGGTTATTATCAGATAGAACTTCATACTTCACTTCTCAATTTGCTGTCCACATAGCAACATATCTTCACTCTTTTAATATTGTTTCCAAAGTGTCGAAATACTATACTAGTATGGCCTTGACAAAGAGCTGTAGTAAATACGAGGGACAAGCTAACCTACTCGCCTTTCTTTTACAAATTCTCCACGTCATGCAATATGCAATTGTACAAAGGCATATACTGAATAACCTTAAGGCTAACAAATTGCTCACGTGCAATTTTCATGGCACTAGTACACAGAGAAGTTCAACTAACGTATATATGAACATAATTAGATGAAGGTTTTTTTACGTGTAGAAGATGTTAACTCTTATAGTTGCATATCATGCAATAATATATAGATACGCCCATTTGGTTTAACAAGAAAATTTTAATGGTCTTGAACCAATTACTTAAGAAACCTCTTTCATTTTTCTTGCTGTATTTTAAATGGTCATCCACTAAAACGAGTGTCAGAACGGAAGTGTAAGATGACAAGACTACCACTGATTATACCTCGAACAGGAGCACCATCCATCAGCTCAAATTTAGCAAGGGTCTCGGTCTCAACATATGTATTGGACCCCGATCCCGTGGACTCTCGACGTCTAATCTCAAGCTCCATATTTTTAATTTTGATTCTTACTAAAAGGAAATATATCTTGCCAATGATAACATCCTTCAGATGGTACCTGGATGAAGCGAGCTCAAATTAGGAAATGGGCATACAGATACACTTTCAACTTTTGCAAGGAGTCTCTAACCAAAAGATGGCATTTCTCAAGTTATATGAAAGAGCTTACTTGCTTTTGTTGTATTCAAACTCAATGTGCAAGCAATCTTCAATCCCAACCTCCATCTATAAATTAGCCACAAATTATGTAATTAACAGACGATTTCACATAAAATTTAGCATGAAACACTCAGTAGCAAAACATGTCTATATAATATATGTTATTAATCATAAATTACATTAGATAAAATATTAATTTCAACCCCCCCCCCCCCCCCCAAGCCACCCAACCCCAACCCCTGAACTTTGGGGTGCCTTGCAAAACCCCCCTGAACTTTTGTCACCAATCCACTATCTGTAATTTGCAAATAACTAAAATTTCCTTAGAAAAAGAAAAATCAAAACCTCAATTGAGGGGAAGGAAGTATGTTGCATGTAGATGACAAATGAATACATTAAGGGAAGGAAGTTTTTGCAAATTATAGGTGTGCGGACCCACACAATTTTAGGGGGATTTGTGAAATTAACCCTATATTAAATCTAGACAGGTTTCAGTTTTGCATGGGTTTTCATCTCAGACCCACACAATTTTAGGCCGTGTCCTCGAGACCCGGCAACTGAGTTTTTTAGGTGGTTTTGCAGGTTTTAGAAACCTGGACATTTAAGGTTGTGAAGGGTCCAGGTCAAATATGATAGGGCAAATATCCCTATATGTGACGATGGTTTACAATAAAAGTTGTCATCGAAGAGAACCTTTAAGCATTTTGTATCATGCAAACAATGTTAATACATCTTATTAGTGCTTGTTAGATATGCACAAATACCGTGTTGACTATTTGAAAAGAGAGATACCATCGACTGTTTGAAATTCCTTCAAACCCCTTTTGGTTCTTGACTGGGCATGTTTTGAAATGTCTGCCCAGAAATCAGACAGGTTTCACTACAGATGATAACTCTTGAATCTGAGCGAGCCAAATTGTAATATATAATCCATTTTAAAAAAAATAACATATTATAGATATAGGAGCTTCAGTCTAATAATTTTCCTCTATAGAAAATTATACTTTTGACTTGCACACAATGGAATTTATATGCTGATTGTGCAATGTATACACAGAAAAAAATATTAATTCAATCTACCTATATTTGAATGTTAAACAACTCCAGCAATTCTACTGACCTTAATGCTGTTGTTAATTGTTGGAACTGGAGTATAGTTGCGAACCTGATTAATGTGGAGAATAAGAACAAGTTAAACAAAGCATAACGGTAAGGGCATATCAAAGGCATGAAATAGAAATACTGGCTGGCATGGATTCTTTGAAAAATGCCAATAAATCTCAGACGTGTTTCATGATAATACTTACGAAAAACATCTGTAAAAATCAACGATATTTTTGTTGGGGTGCCTTTCCTGATATTGTAGAACATAACAACTTAAAAATATGCTTACAGGAAAAAATAATTGTTCTCATGAGATATTAATCAGAAACCATCAAGTACAACCACCAAAAAGAACATGTCACTAACAGAGGCCTCTAGATGATCCAAAGGAGCATAAAGACTGTGAGGCCAAACCAGAAAATATCAGAATCATTGAATTATTCAAGTGAAAACTAGTGAAGATCTTCATCCTGCACTGGATTGAAGATGAACATAGTTGTATAAAGGCTTATTTCGGCAAAAGATCCTAGCATATTACAACAACATAAAGAGCCAAACCTCACAGTGTTAAGCACATGCAGTATGAAGTTGAGACAGGTCACAACTTAATTCCCATGATTACTACTAGGCAACATCCTCAAGGTTTAGCATGTATAACAGCCATGTTGTTGATCACTAGATTTCCCATTTAGTAATATACATCTTTGCGCTCCTTTTAACATTCTCTAAATGGCATGTTCTGATAAGGCGGAGTTATTGGGAGGAGAAACGAACAGGCAGATTTGTGGTTATGCCTTTTGGACATGTTGGAGGCAGGAACTAGGGTGTTCAAATAAGCAAAGATACCTAACCTAAAATGGCTATGGATGGATCCACATGAGCAAAAGAGACCAAAGATGGACATGATCAGACTTAAAATGAGAATTTGCAATATTTACTATGACAATGTCTTTGTACTTTGGAGTTTGGACTTCGGACACCAAGATCTTAAATCTGTTTCAAGGCTGGAAAGGTTGAGCAAGGAGAAAGGCTCGCACAGATAGTTCTAAGATAAATAAGAGCTCTAGATAAGGTTAAGTTTTAGGTGAGAGAGGTAACTAGTTTGTAATAAAATACACAATGTAATATGCTTCGGCCACTTAATAAACTCATATGGCCAATCAAATGAAGGCATCTGTTTCACAAAGGAACGAAAGGAACAAGGAAATTACCAATAACTTTGTTGAAAGCTTATCATAATTACTTTGCAGGAAAAAGGGTATAACATGATAAAAAGAAGGTTATGAGATCTTGATACAGAATTTTACTCAGAAACCTTGAACTTTTCCATATATTAGATGAACTTAGGACACCAATAAAAGACAAAGCACTGGGGGTCTACAGGTGCAATATTTGCAATGTGCCAGTACGGTATGATCCATTTGCATTAAACAAAAGATTAGAATGTCTTTTCTTAGACTAGGCACCCAGATAAACTTGATAGCATAAAAGTTTACAACCTCAAAACCTTGATTGATAAAGACTTGGTGAGAAACCATAATCTTGTCTTGTGCAATCTTATATGTATAACGAGAATAATGAAACAATCTAGAAAAAAGGTTTTTGAGCTATTTTAACTTGAAATTTCCCACAACAAGATCCATATGTTAGTAATCGTAAATTAAAACATGGAGATGGCTAGATGGAATACCCAGAAATCCTGGTGCTCCACAAAGTTCCCGACATAGTTTCGAGTGATTGTAACTCTTAGAACGTACCTGCAAGCTAACAGCAATATTCTTTAGTTATCTTCAACATATCATATGTCATTGTATTCAAGGATGTTCATACTGTAAAATCGACAAGCAAAAGTATATGTAGAATTAATTAAAAGTGCAGGTGAAACAAGCCTTCCTATCGTCACGAGGTCAATTGTGACATATCTTGGATAAACTAATTAAGTCGAGATTACATCATGAAGGATAACCATACTCCATCATAATATATATTTATAGTTTTCTGCTCAAACTAAGAAGGAAACCTACATATGCTGCAAGCGTATATTGTACACTATATAAAAACATACAAGCAAATCATACAAGGAATAAAATGTATGACATGGATGTTATGAAGACAATTTATATAATGAAGATAAACAATTACTTTACAATTAGTCACTCTTAGTCTTAGGAAGAGGTAGCAAAAATTATTTCAGGATTTGATCCTACAACTACTGAAGACATTCTTCCTTCAATCATATCAAAACAAACCAAATTGGTTATTGATAAACAGTTTAAGCTAAAAAATATCTCCCAGGATTCAGCAATGATAATGAATGATATGAAGTGCAGGCAGAGTCAAGCAACTCCCACTTAGTAACCAAACCACAAAATACCAAATCATGACTTACCTCAATCTCACATTGACCCCATTGTATGACTCATATGGCATTTCAACGGTAGAGAATTCAAATGGATATGCCTTCTTTTCATATATTTCACCAGGGACATCCAGTTCACGTACTGCAGGGAAATGACTTCAAATATCAGTCAACTGAAAACACCATGCAGAAAATAGTGAGGTACATCTTCGAGTGGACAAGTATGTGACCATATTGAAAATAAGTCTCACTCCTTTATTAGTTTATTGAACTTTGTATTGAATATAATTTATTTATAACAAACAACACAGGAGGGCGTCTACATTTTCTATTAGAGGTCTAATTGTTTATCCAAAAGAAGAATTGTTCTTCAATACCCCCTTGCATACTTTCCCTTCAAGCGCCAAAACAACGTTATACTATGAAGCATCACAGCCGAATTAAAGGTTGCATTAAAAGAAAAAGGAAATTTGAACATTTTCAGTAGTGACCTGCTCCATTATAAGCATTGCATTGCCAAATTAAAGGTTGCATTAAAACAAAAAGGAAATTTGAACATTCACAGTAGTGACCTACTCCATTGAAAGTATCGTATGTTTTACCTTTTGGAAGAGAGGAGAAATTTGAGATTATATGTTTGAACTAGTCCAGATAGTTACCTTGCATCTAACCCTGTGTACATCTAGGATACCTGGGTATGGGTTTAGGGCTGCCGTACCCGACCCATTTTGGGTACGGGTATGCCTGCGATTCATGGTGGACACGGCTGGTTCCGTTCCAGCCAATTTTCAAGCAGTGATAGGGCTTTAAATTGGGTTTAATTGGTTATCGGGTTCAAGAATGAAAAGTTTTTTGAACGTGATAACCCGAACCCACAACTTGAAACTTTAAAAGGATGCCAATTTTGACCCCATCTCTCTCACAACACCCGATTCCTTTCTGGCTCTTTCCTTTTCACTTCAGAAGTCACCACACCCAAAGCCTCTTCTTCGAAACCTAGCTCCGATGACTCTATGATCTCTTCTTTTTCAGTTCTCCGGCGATTGGTGGTGGAGTTAGAGTATTATAAAAGAATCAAAGATACCAAATAGAAATATAGTAAGTTAATGAGACTTAGGGTTTTTTATGCTTTTCTAATTTAAGATATAATTTGTTATAAAATAAATACTTTTGAGATATATTGTTATTTTTTGATAGTTAATATACAAGTTAACTTGTTCTTATACAATGTTTCTCTGCAATTTGATATCTAACTGACTTCAATTTAGGGGTTTTCATTTAAGTAGCTTTTCTGAAAATATTTCTTTGCACTCTTGAATCTATTCTTTTTGAGGTACTGAATCAAAGAGATGCATAAGTAAGAATCATCTTTTGTCTTTTGAATTGTTCAATTTCTTAAATAGTGACCTTTTTCCTTCTTTTTCTGTATGTGGTTGTTTGCTATTTAATAGAATCAATGGTTTCTAATAGTAGAAAACTAGAAATATTGATCTAATGTATAATCATTAATTTCAACACACGCACACACACGCACGCACACACACAAGCACACACACACACACACCTCGTGTCCCATACCTGTACCCATGCAACATAGGTGTACATCATTGCTTTTACTCATGAAACCTTTGAGCTGAAATTTTGCATAACCACTCATACACGTTAAAGGAAATAACTTTCTAAGTTTAACCAAATCTAGAGTACTTTTTTTTTTACATCACATGCACTTTTGCTCATGAACCCTTCAACCCAAAATTTTACCATGCCCTCCCATATGAAAACATGAACAATAATTAAAGAATTACTTGCATAAGTATGTGAATAATATCATTTTTGCAAAAATAGCCAACTAAATTCCTAGTCATGCATTCGCACATTTTCATGCTAAAATGGTTTAAATTTTATAGGATTTTTTTTCTTTGACCTCTTTCCTATTTACATTGCATTTATTATACGTCAAATTCTAAAATTGCCTTCCTCTCCCCCTACTCCATCCTTCCTCCCTCTGACCGGATACATGCACGTACATGAGTTGGAGTGTGAGTACTTTATTTGCAGCTAGCCGCTTACTTTGAGGGTGGAAGACAACTGAAAAGTTACAGTATTTAAGACCACGAAATTACCATTTGATTCAGATTATCAACAAGGGGCCGACTTTCTCACATATGTGTGCAGGTAGAGCAGTGACAAGAATATGCTGCCTCTCACCCATTAGGCAACCAAATCAACAATAACAAAGATAGAAACAAGAATAACAGAGACAAGACAATCTAACTGTTAAAGTAGGCATTTCAATGATAAAATAAGCATATCAACTCAGCATGAGGAAGGGAAAAAAACTCATTAACTCACCTAAGGAGGTGAAATCATAAAAACGTCCTTTGTCAAAGTACAACTCTGCAAGAATAAACGTAAAACAAAGATCAAAATAATAAAGTAAAGTATAATTACTAAGAGCAGTCCGACTTCCAAATTGCAACCAGGTATCTTCTGGAATGACAAAGGGATATGATTTAAATTAGTAAAAAGCAAAACTAAAACTAAAAGTTAAAATGCAGTAATGCATAGCACAAGAAATAAAATGTGAAGAGCATGTGCCAGGACCTGCATGCTATAGACACAGTGATACAAGCATGTTGAGTGACAGAATTGACATTTCCAATAATTGTAATTTATGCAATGGAAAAGGTTTGATAAAATTCCTGAGCAAAGAGGCCACTCAAAAAGAATTTTAACCAGCAACTTGCTCTAGCTCACAGCATACTTCATTGAAGTTGATAAACTGGATATGAAGCAAACAAAAAGACAGACAAATTGCAAGTGCTGTAGCTACCCAGTACAAAAAGGATACTCCATCAGGATGTTAAAAAATACCAAGGGATGTTCAAGTTGCAAATTCATTTTGTCTTGTTCTATAGCTTCAAAATGTCTAAAAGTTAAAATTCAAAACCTTTAGAGGTTTCTAGTAAATTATTAGTGCTTTTTTTTCCAAATTTTTTAATGACGTGTTTGTGAGCATTTGTGAGTATCTGTGTGCTTATGTGATTCAACGGATGTGGCGTATTAACATGCAGGCCCATGCACACACAGAGAAGCATTACAAACAATGGAAGCATTTTGATAGAGAAACTGACAGAAATCTGTGCACAGCCCATCTTGTTTCATCATCAATTGAGTCTCCCATCACAATGGGTTAGGATTTAGTATGTAACCCTAAAGACAAAAGGCCCTGAGAACTACTGAGAAAGTCTTCATTGTTTCTCATCCTAACACTATTGCTCATGTAACATGAGACAGAAGGGGCCTGCCATCAACAAATACTAGTTGGCAGGTACCAGGGCCTTCATTGGTTGCATAATTTAAGCTCGTGTTACCAGGGAACAAGACTTAAAAATTACCCTAGCAAAGACAAAATGTACAAACGAGGACGAATCTAGCTTGTTGGGTGTAGGGGCACGTGGCCCAACATGTGCCATTTTTTTTAGAAATTACCTATAATTATCATAGGTGCTCCCATTTAATATTTATGCGGTGCCCCCATGTAGAGAAGGATTGTGAAGAATTGTTGATGGAACTAGTAGTATTTACTTATTTTTCTGATGAAAATAAAATGATCATGTACTGATTTGATATGAAGGTACAAATAATCATACACTGATATGAAAATGATAATGAAAAATATTATGTGTCGTGATATTTGTGTTTATTGTGTAAATAATTTTTTCTATTAGTAGAGTTTATATTATATAAAATACGAATTTTATGTTTACTTGTATATGTGCCCCATAGAAAAAAATTTCTGGATCTGTCCCCATACGAAGCATACCTATCTGACCGAAACAAGGTCCAATTACCTAAACCTAAACATATAATAATGATACAAACCGCAACATACGCCAAAAGTACAAACATACCTATCTGGCCAAGAAGCTCAATTTTCACACCAATGTGCTCCACCTTCTTACCGTGAAATGGTTCTATGATTACCTGCAAAATAAAATATTAGAATACTACTCGTTATTGGTAATGGTATAGGTTAAAAGAGAAAATGTACAAGTATGAATGATTAGCATATATGTCTTTGAAAAATATGTACAGAACCTCGCCAGTTAAGGTTTCATGATTTTGAAAAAGTGGGACCATTGCAGTCTGGCCATTTTCCTTCTTTATAGAAGCCTGCGAGAAAAAACAATAAACAGAAATATAATATGAAAAACACAAGACCTAATTTTCAGGAAAAATATCCATTTACAGCAGAGATCAAAAATCAAATATGAAAAAAGAAACACTATTGAGCTTAAGGCAACAGTGGTATCTCATGAGTGTTCATCTTACCTGTTTCCGAGTTTTCGCGTCAGCAAAAACTACCATGATTTTACATGGGGACTTGAATGCTCCGATAAGGTAGTTCTGAAATAGCCAAAAGTTAAATTCCAAATATGGGTGATAACAATTACATACACTCATATCATCAATATAAAAGAACTAAAGAAGTGATTAAATATTTTGTGCACATGTCATGCCCTGTACGGCAAGCTTGAATAATGAGGAAAAACATGTTTGACCAATGAAAACAGGATAAACTACTTATAATGGAAGTTTAAGCCTAACCATGTCATATACCATTCTAAGTAGTATACCTGATACCATACTTGTATTACAAACAAAATTACACTACAAATCTGGTAAAACTATGAGAAACTAGCATAGGAGTTCGGATGAAACAAAACTCCCAACTCAGGGTCTGTTTGATACCGCTTCTTATGTGCCTCAAAGAAACAGTTTCTTCTTTTGTTAGGAGCCATTTTATAGTTTTTTTTAACTTTTTTAAAAACACGGAAATCATTAAAAATACTCAAACCAATTCTAAAAAAACTAAATAATTCCCTCTGTTGCGCTATATTTCTCTTGTAAGCTAAGACCAACATATAGTCTTTTGTGTCGCTAATACATGCCATAAGCTACAACGTAACTTTTTTCTAGAGATACAACTAAATATAATCCAGACGCTTCTTTCAGATGAAATTAATGTCGTAACATGAAAATGGTAACGGACAAAAAAAGTAATGCAAGCAGCATGCTAAATTGATGAAAACAAAAGCACTTCAAGAATCACAGAAGCGAAACTGGAGTGTCAAAAACAACTACTGCAACGCATTTTAAATGACACATTACATGAATATGAGACACCAAAACACACACACACACACACACGAAAAAGAGAGCTTAATACTAATAAACAACCACAATAAGAACATACCATGATCTCAAACTAGGGTATCAACTCGTCGACAACACCTGCACTAACAAATGCAAACAAATTGAAAATTATACAACTTATAACTCAAGTTGAAGTCAACAAAGATTTCACTATTACATTCAAATTCGAGTTATCCGATCTCTAAAACCGCATATTATGTAAAAGATTAGTTTCTAGATCAAGCTCAGAGCTTTTCGATTTGATACTGATAAAACAATTGAAATTTCCCAATTATACGATGATCAACCCTAGCAAACGATTAACTGTTAACAGATGAGTAAATTTACTTGATTCAATTCAGTTCAATCGCCATCGGAAACCCTAGAATTGAGAATGGATTGTACCTGAATCGATGAGTAGAAGCCGGAGCTGCAAGAATTTGGGGGATCGAAATTAACGGTAGAACCCCTTGAATTCGTAAGGTCGCGATCTCAGAGAAAAATAATATTTTGGAGCAAACAGGTGGGCCCCACTTTGCAGAGCGTTTTAAGTTGACGGCGTCAGTCTGACTACTTTTGATGAAGACGGAGGGGCTGTTTGGTTGTATGTTTTTATTACCATGTAAAAGGATGTAAAGTGTAAAAAAAGTGGGTCCCAATGTCAGCTTTCATCATTTTCAATTGTTTGTTTGTAGTTGTGAAAATAGTGTAAAGTGATTTCATATGCTGATGTAGTTTGTAAAGTGATTTCATGAAAAAAAGTCATGATTTTAGGAGAAAGCTAACATTGAAGTTAGGAAAAAATAATAAAAAATAATTCCAACCAATATGATCATTTGAGTAGGGACCACTTTTTATACTTTCCAAACAAACAATTAAAGTTTTATTTTGCAAACAAAACAAGTGTTTTATGATTCCAATGGAATAAAAAACAAACAAAGAAAAGTATAAAAGTGAAATTGATGAGGTGGACAATAACTTTCCAAGTTGTGTCATAAATACACAACTTTACCAACAACAACCAAACAGCCCCGGAGTTATGGGTAACGTCCAATTGTCCGTATTTCTGTAATATTAATATATAATAATTCTGAAAATGATTATATTAAAATATTTAAAGATATATAATTTTTTTTGGTATTCGACATAAGACTAATATAAAATGCGAATATACATGCAGATACAAAATGGATATGAGTAAATCAGATAAGATTGAAAAAATTATTATTCATGTGATACAAGAGAGTTCGTTAGTATGCTCGTTATATGTGAAAAGCTAAGATAAGATCACTCGATAGTTAGTATGCAATTTGTAGATATATTCGATATTTTAGAAACAGATCTAACATTTCAGATACGGATATTCCACTACATATGCATATATCTCATATCTATGAATATTGATATTTAGTAACAATATCTATACTCCAACATGCAGATACACATCATACACAGTAAAAAAAGTGTTTGTGTTTTCGAGTTCATTCTCTGTAATCATCGTCTCTATATATCAGAACATGCCCATTTAAAGAAATGTTAAATGATTAACTTTTTCTCTTTTAAGTATTTCTTTCTGCCTTCAGAAATCGCAAAGAAAAAAAAATCACAGTGCTGAAAACAAAAGGAAGAAATATTTGACTGTTTGATAAGCTAAAACTCATTGAACATGCGAATTCATAAACACATCAAGATATGTCCAACTTTCCTTCATACAGTAACATTCTCAGACAACAGAAGGACATAAACCAAATAAAATCACAGATCGAATTGAATTTCACAAGAAAACTGCTCTCGCAAATCGCAATAGAGAAACATGTATTAATCATAACAAATAATCTTCAAGCCCTACTGGTTTTTATTCTTCCAGAGAAAATACCCTTCAATCATGAACTTCAATTTCCCCAACATAAATAAGATCACCAAGAAGAGTATCAGATACATGAAAATTTCTATATATTACAGTTTCTCTCCAAACTGGTATCTTTAGATTTGAAGGGCATCTGCGATGGACCCAGCAAGGCTCAGAACCTCGAAAGGAGCTCTATTGGCAATGGCCTTAACAGTGTGAGGACAAGAATCTGTGATCCAGAAGTATGTGAATGGGTTCTCGAAGCCTACAGAAATTGCAGAAATTTTTGGTTAGAGCTTGTGAGTTGGATATGAGAATAATGTGAGTTGGATATGAGAATAAAAACTTATGCACTCATTACC